TGCAAGCTGATCTGTCACTTTAAATGGCTGATTCTATGATTGTTTCTGAAACTCCTACTGTGTTGTTACCAATAGATGTCCCCTAATCCCTTAAACCCCACAAAAATTGCTATGCTTCTGATACTATGTGCTCTATGTGTCCCCAATTCCCATTCCACTGTATGAAGGACTGTTACTTGAGTATTGATGAACATGTTTGATTAACCTGCTATTTGTTTAATTACACCACTGTTTTCAAAAGCTATTTACCCAATAACTCTTTTGTTTACAAAATTATTTCAACTAAGTCTCTTTTTTTTACACTGTTTTCCTACTGCAAACCTTTCAAACTATATCAAGCACTCTCACTCTACTCCTAAGTCCCTAAGTTCTGCCCCCTCAAGTGTGTGTACTACCTTGGTATCCTCTTGAGATCTTTTTGAACTCTGGCACACTGAGGCTGGCCCTTCCACACTGCACTTACTCAATTTGGTTACAAAGTCTAGGTGTGTGTACTGCCCGGGATCCTTGAGATCCTTAGGGAACTCTGACGCACCTAGACAATGATATTGTCTATGAAATTGGCATTTGAGGCTATTGGAGGTTTGGGAAATCACTTGGGCCTGCTTCAGGCTCCTTATAGTGAGCTTCTTTCTTTTCTTTTTTATCTATTTATGTAATTCATTCATCTGGTTTGTAATAATTTGTAAACGATTATTGGGGTGACTAGTGAAAAAGGGTGGGTAGTTAGATATTGCGGGGTAATATGGGTAAAAACTATGCCTATAATATTTTATATTTGCTATGTTTGCCTTACCATATTAGAAATCATGCCTATAGGTCTCAAGTGGTTCCAATAATAGAAATCATGTTTATAGGTCTTAAAATCAACTTCACAAGTAGATACCATGCCTATAGAATATGGTTCAGTTCAACTTCTGTTATAACGGGTATTTACATGTGTTTTCATTTGTTATCATGCCTACAAGTTTCTAACATCAGTTATTAACAATTAGATATCATGCCTATAGGGAACAATATCAGAAATTCTGCCTATAGATCTAAAATCAATTTAGTTTAAATAAGTCAATCTAGCTCATGATTAATTTACTTCGAAACTGGTCTAATTAGTGGTTTGTTTTCCCTGAAATGAATTCTTTCGAGTATTGCTCTAATTTACTATTAGAAAACATGCCTATAAGAACTCAAGAGTCTATTTTAAAATTTGCCCACTATTTTACTATATCAAACATAGTTATCAAGCTCTTAGGACACCACTATTCAGCGTGTAGGCATGCCTATAGGGCGTTTTCAAATCCTGCAACTCTGAAACTATTTCTGCTACTTAATGTTGTTCTGATTAATAGGCTTAAAATCAGTAGGCAAATTGACAGGGCCATTACTTATGAGTTTATAAAAATTAAACTGCCTATCTTCTATATCTTGATATTCACTTAGACATCATGTCTTAGGATACCGTTTAACAATACGACCCTTATTTGTGTTTGAGTCGTGCGGCTTATGTGCGTTGTTTGTGGACGTAAAGTTGAGCCTCTAATTGCTTCTTTTTCTGCCTTATGTGCTAAGGTCCTATTTGTTCTTGCCTGTCACCTTTAAACCTTAGGGGTCTATCTAGAACTGCCTATAGGTAGAAGTCCTAAATTTCCTCCAGGACCATTAAGAAGGGACGGGTAACAGCACACAATAGAGATCGCTAAGCAACACTCACTTTAATAACCACTAAGGGGGCGGGAAGGGTAGATATGAGATATGATAACTACATGCTAATATCATGTGTAGCCCCTCATTTAGGAGTATTTACCGGAAATTGTGTGGGGTGATCCTGTAGGCTAACCAACCTAGGACCCCTCCTTTTCCAAATCCCTTCTGTTTAAAACTTTGTTTTATATGTATACAACTTTTTCAAAATTTTTGTCTTATTATTTAAGTTATACAACGTCCAATGTGCTTTACTTGCAAATTATTTGATTCAACTATTTATTTGTTAATGAACTAATTCATAATTTAAGTTCGGTCGGTACCCACCGTTGTGGACCGTGAGGGATGCCTAACACCTTCCCCCTCAAGGTTATTTTGAGTCCTTACCCTAAATCTCTGGTAATGCAAACCAATCCAAGGGTTAATCGCTCTAGGTGCCCTAACACACCATAATCTGTTAGGTGGCGACTCTTCAAACACCCAAATTCCCAAAAAAGGAAACGAGTTATTACCTCCATGAATGTCAAAACCCGGACTTTCTCCGCAGAGGAAAAAGGAGGAGGACTTTCTGCGGTGAAGGGAACCACTTCTGCAGTTCTCACTTAAAATTCCCTCTCCGTACATGCGACCCATATGCCGCATTTGCGGTCACGCAGGTGCGGTAACACATCAGATTCTGAGGTTCCTGCTCACTTTCCTCTTGGTCGCTTCTACGGCTTGGCTCCACATCTGCAGGAGTCGCATCTGCAGACTCTCAACCGCAAATGCGGTTATGACAGCATCCCAAAGACTGCAGCTGCAAACTCCAACTATCCAACTTCCCGTTAACCACCCGAAATCATCCCGAGGCCCCCGGGACCTCAACCAAAGGCACAAGCAAGTCATATACCACTATCCAAACTTATACAAATCTTCCAAACATCTCAAACAACATCGAATCAACCAATTCACATCGGATTCAAGCCTAAGAACTTCAAAAACTCACAAATACGCTTTCGATCAAAAAGTCTATCAAACCTTGTCCGAATGAACTGAAATTTTGCACACACGTCACATTCAACACTACGAAGCTACCCTAACTTTCAGAATTCCATTCTGACCCTCGGATCAAAATCTCACTATCGAACCAGAAACTTCAAAAATTCAACTTTCGACATTTCAAGCCCACATTAGCTACAGACCTCTAAAACACAAGACGAACACACTCCTAAACCCGAAATCACCCAACGGAGCTAACCGAACCATCAAAATTCCATTCCGAGGTCGTCTTCACACTATTCCGACTACAGTCAAATTTCCAAAACTTAAGCTCTCATTTAGGGACTAAGTGTCCCAAAACCCTCCGAAACTCCAAATAATTCCTCCCGACAACTCACAATAGCAGAAACAAACATGGGGAAAACATTTAATAGGGGATCAGGGTGTAGATTCTTAAAACGACCGGCCGTGTCGTTACATCCTCCCACACTTAAACATTCGTTCGTCCTCGAACGAGCATAGAGACATACCTGAAGTAGTGAAAAGATGAGGGTAATGGCTGTGCATATCATGCTCGGTCTCCTAGGTTGCCTCCTCGACCGACTGACCCCGCCACAGAACCTTTACTGATGCAATGTTCTTTGACCTCAGCTTTAGAACCTGCCTGTCCAATATCGTCACTGGCTCCTCCACATAAGATAGATCCTTGTCCAACTGGACTGAACTGAAATCCAACACGTGCAACGGATCACTGTGATACCTTTGGAGCATCGAAACATAAAATACCAGATGAACTCCTACCAAGATGGTAGGTAAGGAAAGCTCATGAGTAACCTCCCCAACACACCTCAATATCTCAAAAGGGCCAATAAACCTCGGACTCAACTTTCCTTTCTTCCCAAATCTCATAACGCTCTTCATAGGAGAAACCCGAAGCAGAACTCACTCTCCAACCAAGGAAACATCACGAACCTTTCGGTCCGCGTAACTCTTCTGTCTGGACTGGGTTGTACGGAGTCTATCCTGAATTGCCTTAACCTTCTCCAAAGTATCCTGAACCAAGTCTGTGCCCAATAATCTGGCCCCAGCCGGATCAAACCAATCCACTAGGGATCTACACTGCATATCATATAAAGCCTCATACGGTGCCATTTGAATGCTAGACTGATAGCTGTTGTTGTAAGCAAACTCCGCCAGTGGCAAGAACTGATCCAAAGACCCTCCAAACTCAATCACACACGCACGGAGCATATCCTCAAGAATTGAATAGTGTGCTCGGATTGTCTGTCCATCTGAAGGTGAAATATTGTACTCAATTCTACCTGAGTACCCAACTCATCTGAACGGCCCTCCAGAACCTTGATGTGAAATGAGTTCCTCTATCTGAAATGATGGAAACTGGGATACCATGCACACAAACAATCTCCCGGATATAAATCTTCGCCAACCACTCTGAAGAATAAGTAATACACACAAGAATGAAATGCGCGGACTTGGTTAGCCAATACATAGTCACCCAAATTGCATTGAACTTCCTTAAAGTACGTGGGAGCCCAACTAAAAAGTACATGGTAATCCGCTCCCACTTCCACTCCGGAATCTCTATCTGCTGAAGCAATGCATCCGGTCTCTGGTGCTTATACTTCACCTACTGACAGTTGAGGCACTGAGCTACAAACCCAACTATGTCTTTCTTCATTTGCCTCCACCAATAGTGCTATCTCAAATCATGATACATCTTCGTGGCACCCAGATGAATAGAATACCGCGAACTATGGGCCTCTTCTAAAATCAACTCCCGAGGCCTATCAACATTGGGTACACAAATCCATCCATGCATCCTCAATACCCCGTCATCACCAATAGTCACAGCTCTGGCATCACTATGCTGAACCTTGTCCTTGAGGACAAGAAAATGAGGGTCATCACACTGACACTCCCTGATATGATAAAATAAGGAAAACCGAGAAACCACGCAAGCTAGAACCTGATTGGGCTCCGAAAGATCTAATCTCACAAACTGGCTGGCTAAGGCCTGAACATCCATCGCCATGGGCCTCTCTGCTGCTGGTAAATAACCCGAACCTACAGAGAGGTAACCATTTTGGTGAGATTAATTAGAATGATATAGTAAACATTTAAGTTAAAATTATCTTATGCCCAGAGGTACGAATACATTTTTATGTATTTTGGTTTACTATTCTAATAAAGTTAGTAAATTCTATGCATGAGTTGCAACCTCTGCCCACAAGAAGGTCTAGAATTTATTAATTGTTTTGCAGTCTTTATGGCTTTTCCTACCGCTATTANGTTTTGCAATCTTTATGGCTTTTCCTACCGCTATTTTTAATGGGAATGCTCGAATTCCAATGCTTTCTGGTGACAATTATACCGAATGGAAGGAGAAAGTCCTTCTCACTTTAGGGTGCTCGGATCTAGACCTGGCACTCCGTGTGGATGAACCACCTATTCCTTCGAAATCAAGTACGCCAGCTGCTAAGGCTGATTATGAGCGGTGGGAGCGATCTAATCGCTTAAGTTTAATGCCCATAAAAGCTCACATAAGCTAAAACATTAGGGGTTTTATCCCTAATAGCGATAAGGTCAAAACTTACATGAAGGCAATTGATGAACAATTCGTAAGCTCTGATAAGGCATTAGCTAGCACCCTTATGAAGAGGCTCTCAAGTATGACTTTCGGCAGAAGTCGTACAGTGAGTGAGCACATTATGGAGATGAAAGACATTGCTGCTAAACTCAAGTCCATTGAGGTGGATATGTCTGAACCATTTCTTGTGCATTTCATTCTTAACTCCCTTCCTGCGGAATATGGTCCGTTTAAGATTTCTTACAACACACATAAGGATAAATGGTCAATCATTGAACTTTTGACCATGTGTGTTGCAGAAGAAGAGAGGTTGAAGCATGAGACACCTGAAAGTGTTACCATGGTGACTCATGGTAAGAGAAATGCAAAGAAGGGAAAAAGTGTTCCCATGAAGAAGAAAAAGGGTCACTGGAAGAAGGATTGCCTGAAATACAAGAAATGACTTGAGAAGAAAGGTAATTTTACCTTT